CTGCTGAAGATAACCCCCGGCCCCTCCACGCCCGGATCTCCACCGACCGAGCCTCCTTGGGGTGCAGTTTGGGGGTGGGTGGAAAATGGGGAGGAGCCAGCGCCTAGTCACCGGAGGACAGACGAGTCCCCTCCGCTCGGCGTGGGGCAAGAGGCTCTAGCTAAGGACGCCCCCGCATAAAAAACCCTCCCCTTTCTGCGTCCCTGGGTCCTCCCACAGCGACGGAGCGTCCTGGGAGGACGGCCCAGGCCCGGAGGGGGGAGCTGAGGGCTCGCTGGTGCCAGTCGCCGCCGGGGCGCGCTCCGGTGCCGCGGCGGGTGGCACAGGCTGGCAGCCACGGGCCGAGTGCCCGAGCCCCAAGGGGAGGGGGCAACTGCTGCGACCGCCCGGCGCGACTGCTGGGGGCGCACGACCAGGGCGCAGGGGTGAGCGCATAGCACGGGGTCGTCGGGGGTGCGGGCTGGACTTGGCCATTCTCCGGGTCTGGAAAGGGGCACTACCCTTTGCTGAGGTTTCTCGATGATCCCTTCTCCGGAAGCATCTAGGGAGGGGAACGTCGGTACTGGGTGTGGGGCGGGAGGTGGTGGTGGTGGTGCCGGGAATCCTCCGACTTCACCTCCTCCTGGAAGCAAGGCAGCAGGATACTTCAGTCCTGCTGTCGGGCAAGTTGGGACGAGGAGGTTGGTTGGTGCCAAGGCCTAAGCCTGTGCTGGGTGTCCCCATCAGAGTATACCTAACCCTTGTTTTCCTGTATTTGGGGCTCCCCCACCTTCAGAGTGAATGAGCCAGAGACTCCCTGCCCAACTGTGTTCTCCAGCGGGTTCCCTGTGTGTGACCAGGTCGGTTGGGATGCATCTGTCCTTACCATATGCAAAAAAAAAAAAAAAAAAAAAACATTCTTTCCCCCATGCTCCGGTTTTCTTATCTGCTAAGTGGGACTTCCCTGAAACCGGGTTTGCATGGCCATGCTTGGGAGTGTGAAAACCTTGATGCCTGTTTCCATGTGAAGCATTTTTTTTTTTTGGAGAGATTTTCACTGTAGGGCGCGTGCGCTCGCCAGACAGACAGAGAAAGACAGAGAGACAGAAAGCGAGAAATCACCCCCCAGGGGGGATGGTCACGCCGCAATCCCTTCTCCTCCATTCTCCTCTCGGGATCTTGGGCACGCACGCACACGCGCCCGGCGTGAGTTTTTTAAGCCACCAGGTCTGGGACACGAACCGCGGTTGACTACGTGCGAGTCCAGCGACATAGCCATTACACTAACTGCTGGTTCCCGTGAAGCATTTGTTTTTAGCCTCCGTTTCCTCATCTATAAATAGGGACTCAATAGAGAGTTGTCCAGGGGATTAAAGGGCGGGTCGGAGGTGGGAAGTGTTATTATATTTTAATAACATGGGTGCCCCTCTGCAAGAGCTCGTCCGCAGCCCTCAGGCTCTGTCCCTGTGGAATGGGTGGACAGGTTCAGTTTTCTCACCCAGGTTTGGCTTGGATGAAGGGGTTGGGGCAGGAAAAAATGAAAGCCGTGTTTGCAGCAAGGCCAGGCGTGTGCTGTGTGGGGCTCTGGGCCCCAGAATGAATGTGGGTGGAGGTTGTGAACTTGTGGCCTGTGATGGTGTGAGACCCCATCTGCCTGTCAATTTTTGTCCTTGTATGTCTCTCTGCCTGTGACACAGTTTTTTGGAGAGATTTTTGCTATAAGGCATGTGCTCTCCACTGGAGAGAATGAGAGAGAGATAGAGTCAGAGATAGAAAGCGAGAAATCATCCCCCAAGGAGGACTGCATGCTGCAATCCCTTCCCCTCCCTTCTCTCTGGATTTTGGGCACACACACACACACACACACACACACACCCACGCACACCTGGTGTAAGTTGCAAGTTGTCAGGTCAGCCGCCAAGGCCGAGACTCGAACCACAGTCAGCCATGTGGGAGTCCAGCCACCCTAGCCACCGTGCCACTCCCTGCACTCTTTGGCTGTATAGATGCATGTCTGTGATTCACTGCTGGCCTGCGATGATTTTTGCCCTTGTCAGTGATCATATGTGCCCTATGGCGTGTCAATGTTGTGCGTGTCCCTTTCTGTGTGTAGTTGTGTTCCTGTAGGTTGCTCATTGAATAAGCTTCTGAATATTTCTCTTTTTGGAGTTGTTTTTTTTTTTTGTTTTTTTTTTGTTTTGTTTTTTTTTTTGCTATAGGGCACGTGTGCTCACCAGAAAGACAGAGAGAGAGAGAGAGAGAGAGAGACAGAAAGTGAGAAATCACCCCCCGGGGGATGGCCACGCAGCAATCCCTTCTCCTCCATTCTCCTCTCGGGATCTTGGGCACGCTCACGCCGGGTCCGGGACTGGAACCGCGGTAGGCTACATGGGAGTTCAGCGACATAGCCATTACGCTAACTGCTGGTCCCAGTCTCTGGGTATTTCTATTCCGTGTGAGTTATGGGCATCTCTTTCCTTGTGGAGCTGGCTGTCACTCTCTCTCTCCCCTTGGGATATCCGTCTGTCTCCACGTCCACCCCCCCTTTCCATTCCGAATTCCCCTCGAGCCCCGGAGCGCGTGCGCGGTGGTGGGCAGGGGTTAGGACCCGTTTCCCAGAGTGGAGAGACCACGTTTGTGCTGCGGGATGAGGAGCTCGGGGAAGGCGGGTCTGACGGGTCTGACACTGTATCCGGCCTCTCCGCAGCCTTGGGGCGGGCGGCCCATGGAGCCGGGGCTGCTGCGGCCGGCGCCGGTGAGCGAGATCATCGTCCTGCACTACAACTACACGGGCAAGCTCCGCGGGGCGCGCTACCAGCCCGGCGCGGGACTGCGCGCCGATGCCGTCGTGTGCCTGGCGGTGTGCGCGCTCATCGTGCTGGAGAACCTGGCGGTGCTGTTGGTGCTGGGGCGCCACCCGCGCTTCCACGCGCCCATGTTCCTGCTGCTGGGCAGTCTCACGCTCTCTGACCTGCTGGCTGGTGCCGCCTACGCCGCCAACATCCTGCTCTCC